GGAGGGGACGTAAACTCCCGGAATTGAAATGAAAAAATGCTGCATTTACTCTTGTTCAGTGTAGACTTTTAGCTTTTCGGTAGTATGTTTCTTTTAAGCATTTTCTCCTCCTTGCAGTGATTGTAGCACCATGCATCGACCAGATAATGTTGACATTTATATCGGTTTCCCGGTTGGCGTACGCGGCGTAGAGCCGGCTCTCTTTGGCGAACAAGATGTAGATCCTGAGCAAGTCGTCGAACCACTTCTGATGTTGACGGAATGTATGAGCAAGGGCGTTCATGGCGATGAAGCAGGGGCGGTTCGCAGTTGTCATTAATTCAGTTATGTTTAAATCCGTAGCTTGAAGTTCTTCCGGGTTGTGAGATAGTTAATTTCTGCAATCGAAACATGAATTAAATATATTAAAAGGAACAATAGTTAACACAATTTTTGCTCACTTACCTTGTGTACTTCATTGGGACTAGACTCCAATCGAGACCTTGGACATGACAAGGCGTTGGTTCATCCAACAGCCATTTTCCCAGATCACTTTTACCATGAGCGCGTTGTAGAGGGGTTGCCTCCATACAAGCATGTGTTTTAGCATCTGCTACGCCACACGCATCGGAAGACGGAAGATTTGTTCTGCATGATCTCGGTTTCCGCATTGGAATTTTTCAGTCAATTTCATTTTTAATAATGTAAACGAAGGCAGACGTTCTTTTATTCCGAACTGGGTACAGTACCTAAGAAAAATCATCAAAATTAAAACATATTTGACTAATTGCAGCCGTAAAGCAATAAAACGTCCGCTTGTTGAACATGGGTAAACATCAACAACTATTCACTTATTGCGTGCACTAGGTACCTTTAGTAACTATTAATGCGTTTCTTTATGGCTGATAAGTGGAATGCCTGATGTGCGCCGAGTTTAGATTAGATATGAATGAATATACAATAGGAGTAAATTGTTGGGCCGCCCAATAGTGCCGGAAGGTAATGGGTGGAGATAACAACGTCCACGTGCAGCGTGTTCCACGCTGCAGCCACTGAAGAAAAAGTTAAGTCTATCAATCCTTGTTTTACATCCGCGAAGCTCTAGAGGGTTATTGTGAACGGTGGGTGTGTTAGCTAGACCTAAAATCCCTGA